AGGGAGAGTGGTGGGGAGTTGGGGGGGTGTGATAAAGACAAAAAACAAAGAACAAGGAAAAGTAAGTCAGATAACGTAGAGAGGGGCACAGTGCGGAGAGTCCCATGCAAGCATTAAACTGATGACGTTAAAGTGTATACCATAGACTCGTGCTACAATATCCAAGACTGTGCACCGTGACGTCATTCCGGTTCCCATGGAGTGCATCATTTGACTTTACTGGAAAGCAAATGAAGGGCAAGGAGGGAAAGGCTCCACGCACACTCAATACACTCGTACTGGCGTTTTGCCCTTCCCATGTGAGCCCACGGTGCGCACCGGAGCAGCCAAGTCTATAGAGATCATAGCAAAGAATGGTGGCTATGAAATTGTCTATAGTCTAAGATATTATAATTCAAGTCAATGGTGTTTACCATTAATATGCTGGGCGGTCTATGTACACATTTGCAAGGTATATTTACACAGAATGTAGGGCGACATCATATTCCCTAGTTCGCTCTCAATGTTTGCAGAAATTTAAAGACCCCCCCCACCCCCACACAAAAAAACTCAAAAAAAACTTGTGGTGGAAAAAAGATCCAGCATGCACAAAAGCGCTAAACAGGATAGCAATTTGTGCAAATACTTTGTTACTCACTTACACGAAACAAAAATATCTCATGACATGAAGTTGTAGGCACTTGTCACATTCAAAGCAATTCCATCTGTTCAAATTCTCTTGAGTACAGAACATTTTTCTCTTCTCTATGCAAATTATAACTATATTTACGTTGTATACTTAACAACTTCCATGAAAATGAAAAAGTGAGTGTCTCAGGGAAAATATTGAGCTTTTCACAAAATGCTTCAAAAACAGAGGCAAGATCATATTCATTTATAAGTCCAAGAAAAAACTTTAATTAACTATCCACTTAAATATGAGAATTCCTCAAGTTTTCTTTTCTCTCTTCAGGGTGTTTTGGGAACGCTTCAGAAAGTTCACATGACGGACCTGGATACACAGAACAAGATATGTCATTAACTTTTACTGAGGGTTTTTCTTTCAATCGACTTATGAAAATATCTTCCTACAAAACCGAACCTTTCAGAACAGCTGAAGCATTTCTTTCTGCAGGTAATTATAATTTTTTAAGATGTTCTACATCCCCATCCACACAATTTTTCATCATTTAGGAGGTAAGCTGCTTTGACCTGCCTGTCACTTCAGCCTCACCCTAGGTTCAAATCGATACAACATACCAGCAAAATAAACAAGGATACTTGGTTAATATTCTCCCTATTTGGGAATTGAACTAACATTTTCAGCATTCAACTGCGAAGCATCTAACTGCTACACCTCAGTTGGCTTTTTACAAAGATTTGACCAAAGATACTTAAAGCTAAAGAAAAGGAAAAAGTGAATGTCATTAATCCACCAAAAAAAACTCCAACTCAATCATTTATTTCATTTCTCTGATCCAGTGGCTATCTGAATTCCAGCCCTTGACCTTATTAAGCCGAAACTCATAACAATGAAAAGGACTTATCAAAACTCTCAATGCTGTTAACTTTTCTACCACTTTTAGGACATTTAGGACATTTAAAAACTAGCGCAAAGTGAAGCAACTATATATTATTATTAGCAATGAAAATAGCTTATGATAACTGAGAAAGAAAACATCTCATGGTAAACTTTAAAAGAAAAGAAACAAAAGCTATGACAAAATCCTCCAAGCATCCACACAAATATCAAGGCCCAACAGAAAACTGCCCATGTTGCAAGACAACTGACTGGCAGGGATACATACACCATGATCATCTCTGCATATTGTCTGTACACGAATTCAGTATGACTTCAGCTGTTGTTTGATTACATGTAAGGATCATCAACGTGTAAGGCTGTACATGGTTTCAAATGTTTTCTTTGTATTCTCTTCCTCGGTGCAAGTATATCCCCTCAGAAATTTTGGTGAAAAAAAAATACACATACAGCTCTGCCAATTTATGAACTTGACTATCAACGTAAAAGTGAGGTTTCAATTTGTGCTTATTATTGATTTCATAATCAATTTCATTGCAGTGTAATATGTCAGTAAGAGAAAGCAGAAACTAAAAAACCTAGATTTGTTTATGAAACAAAACGACAGTTTTGCGACAATATGCTCAACTCTCAAAAAACCTTCAGTCACATTTTTCAAGACAATGTTCAAATGAGCAACTTTCTCTCACACCAAAGTGTTCGAGAAGTTTGCAAAAAATTCTTGTACAATATAGCATTTTCAGGTTAAAACACTGCTTATTACTCTCACTTCAGACAACTCACGAGCTTGATGCTACCTTGTACTAACTCAAAGTATCCAGTTTGGACGTAAATCACTTTGAAAGCACTGAATTCTACTCATGAAACTGAAATTCTACCAAATACAGACATAAACCGTAATAGATTTGGGTTCTAAGGGAAGAGTTTCCAGCCACCTTGGCAGCTGTGACAAAATCTCCCAAACCTTGGAAATTAGAATTAAGACAATATAGCACTCAGCCCTCGATGAACTGACTGCCTCTGACACTGAGAAATGCCACCATTTGTGTGGATTAGCCAACTGATTACAAAATATGCACCGTGAATAATTAGCTTGATTAACTCGAGAGGGGCACAGAAAGTTAAAGGAGGCGTGGGGGGTGGGGGGG